GGCCAGGTTGACTTTGAACTCACTAAGATCCCCCTGTCTCTGCCTCCTGAGTGCTGAGATTAAAGGCATGTGCCACCACTGCCTGGCTAGATTCTTGATCTTAACCATAGTATGTTTTTATTTTTTGTACTGTCAAGGGATTTGTGCTCCTGAGAATGAGCTATACAAGGATGGCTCTCCTGAAACAAGCATGCCTGTGGCTTCACCATTCTGAGGTCACTGGTTGACATAATCACGTTACTTTCCGAAGACCACATGACACACACACACACACACACACACACTCTCTCTCTCTCTCTCTCACACAGCTTTATATTTTAATTTATTATTTATTAATTTTTTTCTAGATTTATTCCTTGTAAGTATTGATCTTTTACCTGCATTTATGTTTGTGAACCATGTGCATGCTGAGTGCCCGTGGAGCTCAGAAGAGCACATTGGGTCTCCTGGAACTGGAACTACAGATAATTGTGAACCACCATGTAGGTGTTGGAAATCAAACTAACGTTCTCTAGCAGAGAAACAAGTGCTCTTAACTGCTGAGCAATCTCTCCAGCTCCTTAAATATATTTTCTATTTTTTTTTAAAAATTTAAGTGTATGGGTGATTTTCTTGTATGTATGTCTGTTTACCATATACAAGCTTGATGCCTGAAGAAGCTAGAAGAGGTATTGGATACCCAGGTCTTTTGCAAGGGTAACTGTAATGATTCTGCGTGAAAGGAATCTTGATGATGGGTGGGTCCACAGTGAAAGAAACAAAACCAGTCAGAGTGACCTAATTGCTTTTCTCCTGAATAACGCTGTTTAGGCTTGGCTATTTTGAAAAACACTTTATACGTGACAAGAACCAGAAGCTGATAAGGACTGGGAGAGCATTGCCTCAAGGACAGACAAGAACTGACCAATTAAAAATGTGTCCAGGGTATGCTTCGCCTGCATACCTCAAGGACAGACAGGAATGGGCCAACTGAGAACATACTTGTGTCCACACATCACTTGCATAATGACATCATGCTTATTGAATTCCGCGCCCTTTTGTAATCATTTGCTGTCCTCAATTAGATCCGGATTTGTAAATTAAGTGAGAACTGGTGGTCTCTGGGGGTGGGGGGCAAAAAGCCTGGGAACAACACACACCATAGTGGGTGAGAGCCCATGGTGGGTGAGGGACAGACAGGCCATCCCTACAGAACTCAAGTGGGGAGTTTTATTGAGATAAAGGGAGTGGGAAAGGGAAGGAAGAGAGAAAGAGACAGAGAGACAGAGATGCAGAGAAAGAAAGAGGGAGAGAGTACTAGTCAGAGTTTTGCCTCTTAATGGGACAGGGTACAGTCGTCTATGCCTGACACAGGGGTGACTGCACTCTGTCAGGTCTCCTTGGGGCAGGGGCAGATTCTCCTGGATCCTAATATACCTCCCTTCTTTATTTTTTTTAAAAAAGGTAAGGAGTTAGGCATGGCATCTTAGGAAATGAAGGCTTTAAGTTCTTGAGACTACTTCCTGCTAATCTGGGGGCATCAACTTCTTGGGGGACCTGAGAGAGCTGGATGCTGGCCACATCTTGGGGTATCTGGCTGCTTCACTGTTGTCTAGGATATGTGGAACCATCTGGTACCTCTTGTACCTAATAAGGTGTTGACAGAGCAGAGGACAAGGTTAGGTTTAGAGAACTTTTTTTCTTTAGATCCTGGTAATTTGAGAAGTGGGCAGGGTGGGGGTATCAAGACCAGAGAAAGGTGGGGAGGTTTAGGCTGTTTAGGGTCTGGTAAACGAGGGTCGATCTGGCCTGTTGAAGGTGAATCCAAGTCGGCTTCCTGGAACTTATAAGAATTCTTTGAGGTTGCAAAAAGATACAAGTTTTAGACACATTAGAAACGGCAGTATGAATTGGGTGGTGGTGGCACATGCCTTTAATCCCAGCACTTGGTAGGCAGAGGCAGACAGATCTCAGTGAGTTTGAGGCCAGCCTGGTCTACAAGAGCTAGTTCCAGGATAGGCATCAAAGTTACAGAGAAAAACTGTCTAAAAAAAAATGCAGTATACTTATGCCAGAAATGATTTTGTTTGAAAACATTAACCCTCTTTCTTCTATCCAGAAAATGTTGCCATATTTTTAGCACAATGAAAGCACCTTTTAAGTCTATAGTTAGGAAACAACCAAGGCAAATTTGAAACCTTGAGCCTGTGGCTATGACGATGGTGCTAGTCCTCTGCCAGAGCTACATTAATGGTTTATCAGAACTTCTTTAATGTTAAGATTATCGGTCCATCGGACCTTTATCATTTGCATTTGTACCCCTTAAAACACCTTCTTAGACCCTGAAACTTTCTTAGATCCTCACATCTTACGCTTTGAGTCTTAAAACACTTTTTATTTAAACAAAGGAATGGTAAGAAGTTACACTGACATCTGCTTTGTGAGTTTGTCCCTTTCCTAATCTGGTAACGAGGTAAATTATGTCTAGATTTGGTATCGACTCCAGGAGGGCGAGGTCTGTGACCTGAAATTTTACACAGAGAACTGAGAAGCCGCCGAAGCCTCGGTTCCTGCTGCTAACCGGGCAAAGCTGCGAGCTCTCAAGCTGCGTCAGCGTTCTCGAGAAGGATAAATCTACCCGAGTGAATGACAGAAAGATCTGGGTCTCTTTGTCGGTGCTCCCAGACTCTGGCCTGTACCTGCAACACTATCGCTCCCCTGGTCCAAGGCAATGCCCATTTTGGTCAGAAGTCTCAGCGCTCGCCGTGTGTGCCAGGGCAGGCAAAAGATCTGAACACATTTTACTTTCATGCCGTCACCAGTTTTTGTCAATACTCATCAGAGTCTACCCACTTTGTCCATTTTCCCTTTCTTTCCCCTCACTTGGAGTTGGCCTTTTTGGCTTCATGGAATGAGGAAAAGGATGAGGCAGTCCCTGAGGAGGGGTTGAAGGAGTTAAACTGCCTTTTTCTTGTTGGCACTGGCCACAGGGGCAAGGATAAGAAAACACGTATGAGCTGGTCGCTGGTGATGCACCCCTTTAATCCCAGCACTTGGGAGGCAAGAGCAGCCTGGTCTACAGAACTAGTTCCAGGACAGGCTCCAAAAGCTACGGAGAAACCGGCTCTCGAAAAAACAAAACAAAACAACCCCCCCCCAAAAAAAAACAAAAGGAAAAGAAAACACTTATGAGGGGCCGGAAAAATTTATTAGTGGTTAAAAATACATCCTGTTTTTTCCAGAAGACCAGTTTTTAGCACCCACATTGGGCAACTCACAGCATCTTGTAACTCCAACCCGCCAGGATCCAAGGCACTCTTCTGGCCTCTACAGGCACACAGACACACACACACACCACACATACACACACACCACACATACACACACACGCCACACACACACACACACACCACACATACACACACCCCACACATACACACACCACACACACACACACACACACACACACACCACATACACACACCACACATACACAAGAGAGAGAGATTCATATAAAAATTCTTTAAAATATAATAGGTTTATGAACAATGGACCACACCTTGCCTAGTTGGACTCTAAAGAGGGATGCATTCAGGGAGGAGCCATGACCACCAGCGAAAGCTTCATAAAAGACCACTTCTGGATGGTAGTCTTCTCAAAAGGCTCCACATGTAGTCTCCTCCCTCTCTCCATTTTACTCCCCTCCCCCTCTTCCCAACACCGCAGAAGCCCAGAACTCAATAAGAACTTTTAAACCAAGTGTGCCGAAGTAGGGACAGACATAAGACTTCTGGGGTTAGGGTCCCTCACCTCTATATTCCCACTGAATAGGAGTGAGAAGAGTTGAGGGAATTTGTAATTATTAGATCAAGCAGATCGACCCTGATTAGCGAGTTTGTGCCTGGTCTGGGAGTGAAGGCCTGATCCGCTTCCTAGGCCTGGCCTCCTAACTCCTCCAGGGCAGCATTGTGGTACCCAACAGGAAGATACAGAAAAGCAGCAGCAATGACTTTCCATGGGAAACAGCTTCACTGAGTCAGTGGTAAATGGAGTCTCCTTCTCCATGGGGCTATGTAACACTTGTACCTTTTCTGGGGGATCCTTGGGAGGTCAGTACCTGTAGGGCCACCCAGCCCAGCCACCCAGACTGACAGAGCCATCTTCTTCTGAAGTAGACTCCATGGCAGCCTCGCGAAACCACTCCTTCAGAAGGAAATTGGGTAATGCATGGGATGTTAGAACAGCAAGAATCCTCAATTCAGAAAGCTGCCCCTGGCAACTGCCTGGGTAGCCTGCAGACCCTCACAGTCCTGATTAAAAAACCAGGGCATCAGCAAGAGTCTTTTCTGCTTTTTGATGCTGAGCCTGCTTTGGCCACAGCCCCCTTAAGGTTCTCCCCTCCCCCTTCAGGCCTAGCACACACAGCAGATCTGAGCTCCCAGGGGCACACAGCTCTGGGAGCTTTATCTTCACCACTTCTATCCCTCAAATGCCCCACTGGTGATTCTCTAGGGTCTGTTCCAGCTTCACAATGACTTTTGTTTCCCTTTGTGAGCTGAATGGTTCAGATTTCTCAACCAAAAACATGGAAAGGTTTGGACATGCTTAAGTCACAAAAAAGAAGTGTGGCCTCTGGACTGGAAAGCTGACTTGGTGGTGAGGAGTGCTGGAAGTTTCCCAGCAACCACTTGGGGGTCTCACAACCCTCTATAGTGGGACCTGATGCCCTCTCCTGGAATAAAGGCATACATGCGGATAGAACACTCATACATAAAATAAATAAATCTTTTTTAAAAAAAAATCTTAAAAAAACAGAAGAAGTATGGTCTCTTAAAAACAAACAAACAAACAAACCTGGGCACAATAGAAATGGCTGGGTTGTTACACAGTGCTTGTGGTCATCAGAGGACCTATGTTCAGCTGCCTGCATCAGCATTGGGTGGTTTATAAGGTCTATGACGTCACTGCTTTCAGCACATGCATGCAGGCTATACACACACAAATGAAACACAAAATAAATCTCTAAAAAAGAAATATTTATAAATTCAGGGGAGGAAGATTCAAAGAATCAGACAGAGTCTCTTTCCCTCCCAAAGGTGCTGTCCCACATGAATCAAACCAATTCATGAATCCTGCCTGCCTGGAAGCTCCTGTGTTGAGTAGGGGGTGCTGATCTGTTCCCTAGTCTCCCTTTCTTCACTGGTAATGAGATCCTCAATGTAGGCATCCAGCTCGTCATCTGTGCTGATGTTAAGGTCCTCTTGTGCTTTCTGCAGGAGTGCCAGAACGTTGGTCCGAAGTTTCTGGAGTTTCTCCTCTGTCTCTCTGAGTTTCTCCTGGGAGATGCGCAGGCTCTCCTCGGACGCCTTGGCTCTTGAGTCGGCGCAGCTTTGGTAGGAATTACAGAGATTCTGGAGCCCGGCCTCATATTGCTTGAAGCACTCTTTCAGAGGAAGAGACAGCAATTCTTCTGAATTCATAGCACCCAGCTCCTTTTTGGATATGGAAAAGCTCAGAGGCATGAAATAACGTAAGCAGTTCCAGAGAATCTGGACCAGGAGGTCATTGGTCTCGTGGTTGGCCTTTAGAGCAGTGGTGTCGGGTTCAGTGCGGAAGCAGTCAGAGGTGGAGGTCCCCTCTAACGCCACAGCCTGTTGGTCCACGGTGTTGCCCTCCTCCTTCACACCCTCTTGCTGCCAATCAGCGCTCTGATACTCTGGAGATAGCTTCGTCAGCCACACATTTTCACTGCCTTTTTTGACCCAGCAGTTTCCTGGTGTAGTATCCTCGGGCACATCCTCAAACTTGACCTTCCACCAGACTGCATTGTCTCCCTCCTCCACGGCTGTGACGTGACCCTTGTAGCACTCCCCTTTCACCCGCACCTCCACGTACAGACCTTTATCCTGATGAGTTGTCTTGAGGTCAGCTGGACCCTCCTCCTCAGAACTGTCTGAGAGTTCGTTTGCGGGCATCTTTTCCTCCTTCACAGTCAACCTGCTCCGTTTGTGTGACTCCATCCTTCTCTCCTCAGCCTCTTCCTCAGAGGTCTCAAGACTCCGTTTACGATCCCACCACACTGGTGAAGGATTTATGGGTGGATCTGGGCTCTCCAGCACCGGAGTCTTCATGGCTTCAGGGGTTTCCACCTTGCAAAGGTGGTTGAAGTTAGGGACTACAGGCATTGACAGTGAGGACTGGACCAGAGGAGTGGGCTGGGGTACAGTTTTGACCAGGGGCCTCACTGGTTTTGGGGGTATCTCAGGTGGGTAGAGCAGGATGGCCTCCCTTTGTGCTGTTGGAGCAGGAGAGGTGGGGTTGGTGCAGAAGACAGAAGCCTCTTGGAGCTGTCTGGATGGTCTAGGAGCATATGTGGGCTGGGTTATTCTTTGAGCATTCTTGTTCACTCCACACAAAGGTGGTTGAAGGCTCTGAGTAGCACATTTGGTGACAGGTCTGGAGGTCAATTCCAAGGGTAATTTTTTCAGGTCACCTCGGCAACAGATGGGTTTGGTTTTCTCAAGGGCCTTAAGCTTCCTCTGCTGTTGGCAAATACTCTCTGTCAGCTGCTTCTGCCTTTCTTCTTGTGTCTTTCGAGCCTTTTTAAATATTCCGATAGGAATCTTCTGCTTTGGTTCAAAAGCCTCGCACTGGTCCTGTTCAGAATCAGGGTTCATGGCGCAAACCCAGTTGTCTGGATAGCCTTTTTCTACAACACTTAACTGGAAGGGAAGGGTCCTCCACTTCAGACACAGATCGCACTGTATGGTGGTTGGGACCTGCATCGACCTCCTGCGTTTGAAATGCAGCTCATCCGATGGGGGCCGGGCCCAGTTGGCAGAGAGGTAGCCAAACTCATCCCAGAACTTAGTGATTCCACCCTGGGCAATGGCTATGTCCTTCCAGTATTGTGCCAGGTGCTCCCCCATGGCCCGCAGTAGGTGGCGGTACTCCTTGGCATCAGCAAAGTCTTGCTTGTTGTGTGTAGGCTCCAGGACCAAGTAGGGCACATCGATGACCCCAACAACCCCACCACATGTCATGCCCTTTTCCAGCTGCGGGCCCACTTTCTCATACATCTTGATTAGGCGGCTACAGTTGTAGATAAACATGCCATCGTGGTCACGGTGTTCAATGTTGACCCCAAAAACAAAATTCAGTTCCTTAGGTTCTTTGAGTGCTCGCTGCTTGGCATCCTTGATCCTTTTCTTGACATCAGCTTCCCTTCGAAGGGTGATGGCTGTATTCTGGACCTGCCGCAACATCACCCTGGAGTCCCGTGAGATGTCCTTACCGATGTGTGCTTCTAACGCACGAGCTTTGCTCTCCGCTTCCCGAGCCCTTTCTTCGGCAAGTCGTGCTACCTGGTCTGCTTTCTTCACCTCTTGCTCTGCCCGGGTCTTGAAACGGCTTGACGTGAATGTGTACTTCCGGGGCTTGTACAGGCAGCAGGCGAGCTTTTTGGTCCGCACCTTGTGCCCATGAATGAAAATCCTCATCCGAGGATCAATGTAAAGCACAGCAGCATAGGCACAGAAGGAGTGGCGCTCTGGCTTCACGCCTTCTTGGGACAGATCTGCCATCCGGATGTCTTTTGGGTTTGAGATTATGTCTAGTTCTGGCTCTCCGTTGTCCATGAGCTTGAGATTAAAGATGATCACCAGGGTCCCACTATTCCCAGATATCTTCATGAACTGGGTCATCACTTCTCCCTCGGTGTGGAAAGGAGAGTACTTGTAGATGAGTTCTGTCTCAATGGCAAACTTCTCCAGGTTGTCTGTGATAGGTTCTCGTGTCTGCGTATTCCAGGTGGGCAATGGGACTATCACTTCATCAATGCCTTCTTCCTCATGAAAGGTTCGAGACAGGAAGAGGCAGCTCATGGTGTCTTCCTTCTTGGTGAAGAGGATAAAATCCTTCCCAATGCGCATTGAACCCGATTTGAGCCCATTCCCATAGCGCCCAATCTGTGTGGCCTCTGTTGTTCGTTTCCCTGATTTCCCGAATTGGATCACACTGATGGCATCATTTGGATCCATTCCCACTCCATTATCCAGAAAACATAGCATGAATCCACCTTGCAGTTCCTCACGCCTTTCAGCATAGATATCGATTCGGGTGGCGTCGGCATCTCTCGCATTATCAACCAGCTCAGCAAGGGCTCCGAACAAAAATTCATGAGTGGTTGAATTTGTGTGTAGATATTCAAAGGTTAGTTGAGCTCGGTTAAGACTGCTGTAATTGGTGAATGCCATGAATCTGACAAAGCGTCCACTAACCGAGAGATATACGTATTGAAGCAGATTTTCTTGGGTTCTACACAGTAAAGGGTAGTTCTTGCTTCTTAATAACAAATGAAACAAGCGATCTAGTTACTAAAATACAGAGATATTTGAATCTGAGATGGAACCCTTCTTTCTATCTTTTCAATGACTATGATGTAATATTTTTTTGTGTGTGTATGTGCATGTGTGTGTGGGGGCTAAACCTGCATTTCTAAAAAACTGAGTGTTATTTCCTTAGTTCATTTCAGACAGCCTGGGTCCAAAGTGGATGGTCCATCTGCAACAGCCATAGGGTTGACTGTTACTGTTTTATCTTGACTTTATTTGAGCCATGCACTTTTCTCAGTTTTTTGATGAAAAGACTTACCAATGCAGAAATGTACTTCTATCAAGAATTTAACTTTCACCTACATCGTCACCACCAGAGACCGAAGTATCCTTAAATAGATGCTGTCCTGGAGGGACCCTGGCCAGAGCAGGTAGTTGTACTTCCGGTGACCCCTTGGGCAACTGATGAAGGTATTTGCGGCTCCTTACCTATCTTTCAAATTCGAACCCAGACTAAACCCAGCTTGATGTTATGTCACAATCACCACTGATGTGTGAGATGACCTCACAGTGGTCCACAGAACCACCCAAATCTCCAGTGGCGGGCAGTGGCCCCAAGTCCCTTCCTTGCCAGGCCTGGGTCTTGTGGCCACTTTCTGTCTCCTCTCCGGGAGGAGTCTCCTTTTCCAAGGCCCAGCCCCAGGGTGTAAAACAGTTATCTGCCACAACTAACCATTTCGCGCGAGCTGCTAGCAGCTCCCAGAAGCCTTTGTCTCTCCCTTAGAACGGAAACTCAACGGTCCTCTGCGGGCATGGAACCACCCGCTGCCTCTGCGTCGGCGGAGCGCCACCTGTAGGTTGGACTACATCACTACAGTACTAAAGTGCAGAAACGGATTGGGTGCTGGACCAAAAGACATTAACAAAAAAGTAACAAAAGTGACAGCATGGATTCAGAGTTTGCTGCTTCTCTGCTATCACTAACGCCATCTCGGTTTCTGCTTTGTGTCGTTTAGTGCGCACTGCCCTGGGCCTTCTTTTACTAAACGTTTTTCTTTTTATGTTGTCTGTGTGACTGTATGCCACTTGTGTGAGGATGCCTGCAGAAGCTCGCGGGTCCTCTGGGGATAGAGTTGGAAACAGTCTGTAAGCTTCCAGGTCTGGGTGCTGGGAATCGACGTCGGTTTTCCAGGAAAAGCTGTAAGTTCTCTTAACTGCTGAGTCATCTCTCCAGTCCCAAAATCTGGCCCTTCTTAAATTCTTTGAGCAAGATGCCAAGAAGCTGGGTAGACTAGCACAGACACCATTAGTAACGGTGACCCAAGAAAAACTATATTGTTTGAGGATGAGACCAGTGTCTGTCTCCATGTTTTTGCAGCTAGTTAGCCAATTTTTAATTAATATGCTATGGTGGGTGTCCCAGAAATTATCGTTTGCTGGTTTGGTGCCTGTGTATTGTGGCATTTGTGGGTTTTGGCCTCCAGAAATCTAAACTAGAAGCAGTACAAAATCATTCTAAGGCCAGGAATGACAGCAGACGCCTTTAATCCCAGCACTCGGGAGGAAGAGGAAGATGGATCTCTGTGAGTTCGAGGCCAGCCTGGTCTGCATAGCTGCATAGTGGGGACCAAATAATCTAGAGTTGCACAATGAAATCCTGTCAAAACAGCAAACAAACAAACAAACAAAAAACATTGACCATTACATTCTAAGTACTGCATATGGCACACAATATAGAGTTTTTGTTTGAGGAAGAATGGGGAGGAGTAAAGAATACACAGAACATTAAACTTGGGGAATTATAAAGAGAAACTAGAGGTAGCAGGAGGATAGCAGTAGTGAGGCAGAAGGAGACTGATTAAATCATTTTTTTAATGTCATAAGGAGGGGGTGAAGAGATGGTTCAGTAGTTAAGAGCACTCACTGCTCTTTTACAAAAATGTTTTTATTGAGTTATTTTTCTCTGCTCCCCTCACTGCCTCTCCCCTCTCTTTCAACACCTCCCATGGTACAGATGCTCCTAATTTACTCGGGAGATCTTGTCTTTTTCTACTTCCCATGTAGATTAGTTCCGTGTATGTTTCTCTTAGGGTCCTCTTTGTTGTCTAGGTTCTCTGGGATTGTGAATTGTAGGCTGGATTTTATTTACTTTATATCTAAAAGCCATTTATGGGTGAGTATGTAATATATTTGTCTTTCTGGGTCTGGGTTACCTCAATCAATATGATGTTTCTAGATTCATCCATTTGCCTGCAAATTTCAAGATGTCATTTTTTCTGCTGTGCAGTACTCCATTGGTTAAATGTACCACATCTTCAGTCAAGGGGCATTTAGGTTGTTTCCAGATTCTGGCTATGACAAACAATGCTGCTATGAACATAGTTGAGCACATGTCCTTGTGGTATGATTGAGTATCCTTTGGATATATACCCAAAAGTGGTATTGCTGGATCTTGAGAAAGGTTGTTGTGTGGTGGTAGTTTCGCCACACTACCAGTTTGCACTCCCACCAGCAATGGAGGAATATTCCTTTTACTCCACATCCTCTCCAGTATAAGTTGTGATTAGTGTTTTTGATCTTGGCCATTCTTACAGGTGTAAGATGGAATCTCAGAGTTGTTTTGATTTGCATTTCTCTGATTGCTAAGGATGTTGAGCATTTCTTTAACTATCTTTCAGCCATTTTAGATCCCTCTGTTGAGAGTTCTCTGTTTAGGTCTGTACCCCATTTCTTTGTTGGATTATTTGGTCTTTTGATGACCAATTTCTTGAGTTCTTTGTATATTTTGGAGATCAGACCTCTGTCTGATGTGGGGTTGGTGAAGATCTTTTCCATTTCTGTAGGCTGACATGTCCTTTGCCTTACAGAAGCTTCTCAGTTTCAGGAGGTCCCATTTATTAATTGTTTCTCTCAGTGTCTGTGCTACTGAGGTTATATTTAGGAAGTGGTCTCCTTTGACAGTGTGTTCAAGTGTACTTTCCACTTTCTCTTCTATGAGGTTCAGTGTGGTTGGTTTTATGTTGGGGTCTTTGATCCATTTGGACTTGAGTTTTGTGCAAGGTGATAGATATGGATCTATTTTCATTATTCTACATGTTGCTATCCGGTTATGCCAGTACCATTTGTTGAATATGCTTTCTTTTTCCTTAGTTATCAGAGAAATGCAAGTCAAAACAACTCTGAGATTCCAACTTACACCTGTAAAAATGGCCCAGATCAAAAATGCTGATGACAACTTATGCTAGAGAAGATGTGGGGAAAAGGGAACATTTCTGCATTGCTGGTGGGAATGCAAGCTGGTATAGCCCCATTGGATATCAGTATGGCAATTTCTCAAAAAATTAGGAAACAACCTAGCAACACCACTTTGGGGTATATACCCAAGGAATATTCAATCATACCACAAAGACATGACCTCAACATAACAGTATTGCTTGTTATAGCCAGAACCTGGAACCGAAATGCCCCTTGACTGAAGAATGGATACAAAGGATGTGGTACATTTACTCAATGGATGTAGGAGGAAGGCGCGTTTGTTTTTCTCAACTGCCCAGAACTGAAATAATCACACAGAAAACATATTTATTAAAGCACTGTTTAGTCCATTAGCTCTAGCTTTTTATTGGCTAACTCTTACTTTTAATTTAACCTATTTCTATTAATCTGTGTATTGCCATGAGACAGTGGCTTACCGTTAAAGATTCTAACTGGCATTTGTCTCAGGCAGAGGATCCATGGTGTCTTCTGACTCTGCCCTTCTTCCTCCCAGCATTCAATTCCATCTTCACCGCCTACCTAAGTTCTGTCCTATAAACAGGCCAAGGCACTTTCTTTATTCATTAATGGTAATTACAGTACACAGAGGGGATTCCCACATCAAATGGAGTACTACATAGTGGAAAAAATAATGACATCTTGAAATTTGTGGGCAAATGGATGGATTTAGAAAATATCATATTGAGTGAAGTAACCCAGACGCAGAAAGACAAATATAATATGTACTCACCCATAAGTGACTTTTTAGACATAAAGCAAAGAAAAACTAGCCTATAATTTACAATCCCAGACAACCTAGATAACAAAGAGGATCCTAAAAGAGACATAAATGGATATAATCTACATGGGAAGTAGAAAAAGACAAGATCTCCTGAGTAAATTAATTGGCAGCATGGGAATCATAAGAGATGGCAGAAGGGGAGGGTGAAGGAAGGAAGGGGAATGGACAAAAATATATAGCTCAAAAGAAGCAACAGAAAAAATATAAAAAAAGCAGGCTGAGCAAGTCACGAGGAGCAAGCCATTAAGCAACACCTGGTGTGAGAGAATTGTCTGTATTCTGTCAATCATGTTACAAATAAACGCTGAGTGGCCAGGCAGGAGGTGTAGGCAGGAAAACCAGACAGGAAGTGGAAATGATGCAAGGAGAGCAGGAGAATTCTGGGGAGGAGGAAGTTGATTCCTCCCTCTCCTGCCCAGACCGCTGAAGCAGCAGGATGTGAGCTGCCCCACTGAAAAAGGTACTGAGCCACATGGCTAAAATAGATCAGAAAAATGGGTTAATCAAAATGTAAGAATTAGCTAGTAAGAAGCCTGACCTAATGAGCCAATCAGCATTATAACTTATAGAGATCTCTTGTGTGATTTTACTTTGGGACTAAATAGCTGGGGGCTGGGCAGGACAAAAACACAAACAAGCAGGCCCTATGTTACAAACACCCCCTCAACGGCATCTGTATCGGCTACTGCATCAGGATCCTGCCCTGCTTGATTCCTGTCTTGCCTTCCTTCAGAGATGGACTGTGACTTGGCAGTGTAAACCTTTCCCCTCCTCTCCCCAAAAGAATGTATATTGTTCAACCTGTTAAGTTGCCTACAGGCTGTGCAGTGTGCTCCACATTCCCAGTTTTCATGAGCTCTCACCCATGCTGGGTGGACTTTGGTTATGCAGATGCTTTTTGAGTCACTTCTGCTCTGGTCAGTAACCCCTCACTTGAGCTTCTGTAAAGAACCTCAATTACACTCATTAGTTCACTAAATAGTACTTAAGTGGTATCCGAAATTTCTGTGCTCCCTGTCTGAGGTAAGTAGGCATGTGTGTTGCATCTCCCCTGGAAATAATGCCTCTGTCACATGACACCTCTGTCTCTGTCTCTGTCTTCTGGCATTACAGGCATTACATTGCCACCACCACCATTTTTCATTTCATTTAAGTGAGTTAGATTCATGGGTGCATGCATAGTTTAGTGAGTGTGTGTTTTCAAAATTATTCTTTGATTAAAATGAAAATTTTGCTGATGGTTGAGATTTGGCTACTGGCCTCAGGGGCAGGTTCTGGTTGTCACTCATGTACTTTGCATGTTCTATCATTGTTTCTAATGGGAAAATTGTCATTTCTTTCCATTGTGACTTAATACTTATTAATTTTTTTTAATACTTATTAATTTTGCATGCTAGATAATAATAGGTGGCATCTATTTGTAGGTATGTCCCTCATTTTTGTGAATTTTTACCCTCCTTTACTGCTTTGTGAGCTGGTGTACAGTTGTGACTTTGTTGTTGTTTGTTTACAGTAGTGAGGTGGTTGTTAGATTTTGAAGTCCTAGGTACTTTATTTGTTTATTTACTTTTTTTTTTCTGTGAGGAGACACCATGACCACATCTCTTGCAAAGGAGAACGTTTAATTGGGGCTGGCTTACAGTTCAGAGGTTTTATTGTCATAGTAGTAAGCATGGCAGCATGCCAGCAGACATGGTACTGG